CGTTTGAAGTTTCTAGAAGTAGATATCTGCAGGAAAATGAGAAGCATATCGAAAAATGCATAGTGTGCATTAGTATTGGTGTATGCTGAATAGAATAACTCTCTTCAATGTGTTAGTACTGCGTGTAGAGTTAAGAACTACGCGTTCCTATGAATTTGTGCGAAGAGATTAATCGAATCAGTTTTCGATCAAAGTGCAGAATAGACTTGCCTCGCTCATGCGCCGTATAACGTTGCGAGAACGATTGATCAAGAATTGATGAAGAAAAACGGTGTCCTAATGATGATTCGACATCAGCATTGGGACCTCTTGTACCAAGTTTGAAAAATTGTAGTAGTTTCCTGAAAATTGTTGAGTATTTAACTAGAAATTTTTAGGAACTTTTGAAATTAGCACAGCACTTACAGAAAGAGCCTATGATTTTTCCTAAGTTTAATCCTGAACGCGAGAGTTATCAGTGTGGGCGTGCTACGCTTTTCGGTTGATGAACTGTGGTTGCTAAGTTTGTACGTTTGTATATATGTATGTATATAGACACAAGTGGAAGATGTTGTCAAACGGGATCATCTTTTCCCGACTTTTTTTTTAAGCGCCATTGTTTATATGGAGTACGTAATGAAAATTTAACGTACAAAATGGTAAGCTTTTGAAAGATTTGAAATACTAAGACATTCAGAATAAAAAATCAATATACAATTTTTTTTCCGATTGTGAAGTAAGAGTACAAATCCTCATAGACACTTGCCATGCTTGCCACACGTCTCAGCCCTTCGACCTGCAATGCTTCTGGGCACTCAATATATTATTGCCAGAGCTTTAAAAACCTGATCGCGTCTAATCGATTTAGAGAAGCAAAAAGACTTGCTCTTTGCATAAATTGGCTCAAGACTGGTCATTAACTGAGACAGTTCAACTCTGGAAATTGCCGTGCCTGCGGATCTAAGCACTACACTCTGCTTCACCTGGGAAATTTGGCCAGGCCTTCGCCACAAGAAAGATCACTCCTTGAAGAAACGCTTGCTTCTGACTCACATGCTGTGGCACCTTCTACATTGGTTGGGACGTCTGCTGCGATTCTTGCACTGGATCTTAGTAAGGATGTTGTGCTCCTAGCCACTGCCACCGTATTACTGAAAACCCTTTCAAGAACTTTGTTCCTTCTCGACTCTGGATCTCAAGTGCACATTATAACATCCCGATTCGCAAATCAGCTTCAACTTAAGAAGGCAAAATCATCAGCTCGTGTTACCGGAATAGGTGAATTTAGTTTTGAGACAGATGATTAGTCAGTAAAGACTTCGATGCGATCTTTAACGTCTAAGTACTCAACCGACATCAGTGCTGTTACTACCTCCAATATCACCGGATTTCAGCCCTGCCCAAGCATTGACATTTTCAACTGGAACATATCCGACATCTAAAGCTCGGAGACCCCGCTCTTCGGCATCGTCCTCAACGCAAAGATTTATTGATTGGAGCCAGTCTAGGAACTGTTGTGCGGTCATGTCAAGCTTCTGCCAAGATTGCCCCTTATTCAAAAGACTCGTTTAGGCCGGGTTGTTTCCGGAGGTTGCAGTTTCAGCGCGGAGTAAATATTGTCTTTCGTACAACAGGATCCACGAATCGATCAGTGAATGCGTCTGTTACCCTTAAAGATGGTATTGAAAGCCACGCTTCCAAGGTGGTGTGTATATCGAGTCTCAGCTGCCAGCCATTTCAAAATTTATTTCTTTATATATTACCATATTTGGAGAAACAATTAAGCTATTCGGCTCCTCAGCTGTGCGATAATCTTTCGTTATATATGCAGAAAAGCTGCGTGAGCATCTAGCTCGCTTTTCTAGCGCTCTTTCTCTCTCTCTTTCTCTTGTACTGACGCTTTCGCTTTCGCTTGCCGTTCTGCTGTTCGCGGTGTATGTCACTCATTACAGTCGCTTTCGTAACCCATGCATGCGCGCATCAATGCCAAAATTTCGCTAAAAATAAAATCTATTCATTCGAAACCGCTACATATAAATCATATTTTCATTTCACAAAGAAAAGATAAAAAAAATCTTAATAGCTCAATTTTAAAAATATTGCAAATTTGTAATTGTTATTTCTCCTAAGCTACGTTTATTTTGATTTTAATTGTACATACGATTTGGATCATAGCATTTCGTATCGGTTTCCTCTAATTGGATCTAGCCGCAAATGATCTCGTGTAATAAGATTTCACTTACATATGTGGACTAGTCGACGTAAATTTCCCGGTTGATATAGCAACTTTTGTCTAGTCTCGGGTAGCTGGCTGTTCTTTTACATTTTGATAAACTCTTTTCTTCATTTTTATAGATGTCTTATCGATACAGAGTCATACGGTTCGCCATGTTTTTGCTTTCGGACTCTTCATACTCATAGGATCTTATCGATATTCCTTATATTGTTGACGAAGTGATGCACAAATGTTTGACCATACAATTCCATCAACTTGCTTGGAGATATCCAATACTAAGATCTAGCTTTACCGATGAATAATATATGCACGTCCTTACACATATATTACTTGAATAGTCACTACCAAACGTTTCGTCTGTGAGCGCTTTTATTCTATAAATAATGGTTGACCGGAATTGCGAAAAGGTTCCAACCACCACTTCAATCTCTTTTCTATTAATCGGAGCATTACAAGAGGCTTTTAAACAAAGACACGCTAGCAGGCTAAATGATTACAAGGATTGGTGTTATCCATAACCATTGAACAAAGGTCGCAATTTTTATATTACATATATTACATATTATTACCTTCAGAAGAAGTTTTAGGATGCGTATCTATTCTGCTTGTCTATTTATTTTTTCTTTTATTTCTTTTTCTTGAATTTGACATTTTATGGCAAATAAATAAAATCAAGTACGTCGTATTAGCCTGCCGTGTCTATAACTAGAGATGATGAGTGGATTATTTAAACTTGGGCGAACTGATTGCGAACTGGGAGTTGAATAACTTCCTACATGTTGGGATAGCTCATGTTATGGCTTTATTCATCAATTGGTGTAAGCCAAACCGTCGTTGTTAAGAATCGCGCTTTTCCCTCTGAAATCGAACTAATCAGCACTGCATTAGCCTCGGGAGGAAATACACTCATTTAAAATGAATGTGATTAAAAAATCTATACCACTTAGATTTGATTAAGTTGACTAAGAATGACAAGCCGATACTAATTCTCGACACACGCTGTACCAGAAGTAAGTAAGAAAGAACGGCGGGGAGGAATCCTCTGATGCCGTAGTTCTTTCGGCGATGTGGTGGGTTGAAATGCCACATACATTTGGATTCCGACGGAAACTACCTACTATAAGTTACGGCTCCAAAACGATTCTACGATTCAACGATTATATGGTTCTTTCCAATAATTTCTCCTGTGTGGCTAAAACAACCTGGTGAGCATTAACTGATCCTGGGGTGCGAGATTCTGGTGGCACCGTTAATATAGACCGGGGTGTCCAAGTAGTGGATGAACTCAAATTCAAGGCTTTTGGGCGTTTGAATAGCTTCTGGAAAGACATGTGCTCCAATTATCAGTAGCCGTTGATTTTCTAAGTCCAGAATGATAAACCGGTCTGGTTTCATTCGGGGTACTTGTACAAGGCGGCTAAATACCTAATAAATACCTGAGGAAAATTCTTGGGCCCTAAGGCGAGGCAACCCCTGAGAAAAAGACAGATGCAACTTAGAATTTGGGAGAATTCGTTATTCTCTCTAGTCCGGGAACAGAGTTCGTGGTATTTATTCTCACAACTCTGCCAAGGCTAATAACCCCCCTAATAACCGCCCTCCACCTTGCTATCACAGAATATTATTAGTTTATACAAATTCTGTACTTAGGAATAACTACTGCGAAGGGAACTTGCGTGCGATTACGGCAACGTTGAGAGTATCAGGATCAGCATTGGTTCAGACCTCTTACAAAAGCTATATATGCTATAAGCATTGCTTGAAATGGGTTACCTTCGCTATAATTCCGAAAACGCTCACCAACGGCTTTCTTCTCCTGGGATAGGTGATGATGATCTTCATACCCAAGCCCGGGAAGATAGGCAAATGTTCACCAAGAACTACACCAATATTAGTTTATTATCGTCTTCTCAAAAAATCTTAGAACGACTGGTAAATCCATCCAGATGCCATCGCGCACAACACGCCTACCTCTAGGGTAGTTGGAATCCGATGTTAGGGTCCGCAAAGTTTCACCCTCACGAAGGAGTTTGATTATGACATCTGTGGGCATCACAACGGGCATGTGGCACACACCTAACCTAAACAAACTTGGAAATAGGCCCGAAACTTATTAGACTATACGATTATGTCGACCACGGACTCTCTCCCTTCCTTCATAAGCCCAATGTCGTACAAAAAAAAATTTTTTTAAATATCTAATTTCACAACATGAAAAATGTATATTTATATTTTTTTTTTTAACATTTGGACATGTTATTTTCCTTATCACTATTCTTCTACGCTCCCCCTACCTAATAATATTTCACATAACAAGCAAAAATTAACGTGTTGTCTAAAACTCATTTATGGTTTCTTCATAATTTTCTATTAACTGTCATGTTTTGTTTAAAATCTTAAAACGGTTTAATTGTAAAAATGAAAATTAAAGTAGGCAACAAGATGAATAAATTCCTTCATATTTTGGTTAAACTTCTGACAGCTATTTTGGTTAAACTTCTGAAGGATTTGCTAAACCACTGAAACATTTACGACATTCATGTGTCAATTAAACTATGCTTTTAACCTCCCTAGTTAATGCTTTATTGGAATAAAATATAAAAGTAAGAAAATAAATTAAATTCTTGACAAAATTTGTGGACCAGTTTGCAGTGCGTTCCAACTAGGTGCATGGAAAAGTTACCAACCATAATACATTGGACGTTCGTAAGGTTGAGAATTCTTAGTGGCATTCAACTATCAAACCTATTATCAAAGAAATAAAAGCTTGATAACGAAAACTTACCAAGGCTTTGTATTTTGGAGAACATCTATAAGGGACTGTAACTGCTGTCGAAAATTGTCACTTACAGTACATTTTGATTTGGATGATCCTCGTGGATAACTCGAATTGATGAATTGGAAATCCTAAAAAAAGAAACAGGACTTTAGTATTTTCGATTTATTGAATGGAATTTTTTTATTTCAAAGGACAAATCGAAATTAGCTTCGTTGGGTCAGAAACCAATTAAAAGAATCTGGTTAATATTTGAATTCCGCGCATTTTAAATGTTAACACCTGTTATAATGATGCTGCCAAATCGTACGATTCAGATATAAAAGAATATAGGAAAATTGAAATTGATGTTGCAAAGCCTCGAGCAGTTTGAAGTGAGGAGAATATGCAACGAATTATCATTAAACTTTATAATAGGTTGGAAAATATCTCCCTTCCGCTTTTTTGCTCTTTATTCAATGCCTTATAAAAAGTGTAACAGTGATCGGATTTAGTTCAAATATGCGCCGTTTTGTTCAATAATCTGTTTCCATCTAGATGGCAACTTCATAAAACCTCCCTCGTAGAAGCCCCCCTCCTTATTTGCGAAGAACTCGGACAGCCACTTTTCACAAGCCTCTTTTGAGTTCAACTTTACACTACCAAGGGCATTCGCCATGGACAGGAGCAGGTGGTAATCACTTGGCGCTATGTCCGGGCTATATGGTGGATGCGATAAAACCTCCCATCCGAGCTCCCGTAGCTTCTGACGAGTCATCAACGAAGTGTGTGGTCTGGCGTTGTCCTGGTGGAACACTACACCCTTCCTGTTGGCCAATTCTGGACGCTTCTGGTCGATCGCCTGCTTCAAGCGGTCCAGTTGTTCGCAGTAGATGGTAGAATTAAGCGTCTGGCCATATGGGAGCAGCTCATAGTGGATGATTCCCTTCCAATCCCACCAAACACACAGCAAAACCTTCCTGGCCGTCAATCCCGGCTTGGCCACTGCTTGGGACGATTCACCGGCCTTCGACCACGACCGTTTTCGCTTGATATTGTCGTATGTGATCCATTTTTCGTCGCCAGTCACCATCCGCTTCAAGAATGGGTCGAGTTCGTTCCGTTTCAGCAGCATATCGCAGGCGTTGATTCGGTCCAGAAGGTTTTTTTTTATTGTCAAATCATGCTGCACCCAAACATCAAGCTTTTTTTTTGTATCCAGCCTTCTGCAGATGGTTTAAAATGGTTTGGTGACTAACTCCCATCTCCTGGGCGATGTCACGAGATGCCACATGCCGGTCTAACTCGATGTATTCCATGATTTGATCGGTATTTGTCGTCACAGGTCTTCCGCCGGCTGGCTTATCCATGGTGTCGTTTTCACCGGCTCTGAATCGTCGAAACCATTCCTCCGCGGTTCGAAGTGATAGAGTACCATCCCCCAAAACACCATTAATCTCACGGAACGTTTCTCTGGCGGATTTGCCTTTAACGAAGGAAAACTTTAAAATAGCGCGAATTGAACGCAATATCCAAACTAATCATGCATAGCGTCGTTTTGTAGGTTATGTCAAGACCTTTCAAATTATGTATAGTATTGCCAGATACGAGCGCTTTGTACATAGCCGCGAAATTCAAAAGACAAAAAGGCGGAAGGGAGATATTTGCCAAACTAATATTATTAAACTGGTACCATCCGACTTCTTATTTATACTCAAGAAAATCTTCTTGTTTTAATATTTTGGCGACCGTGCTAATTTTTAACCGTCATAGTTGGAATCGACATCTCGGTCCTCCACCTATAGATTAACCTTTATCCGCTTTATCTGCTGTATCCGCGCAAGAAGCCATATGAATCCACGCCAAGGCCCGCGTTCAAAAACCAATTGGACCAGGAGGAAACCGCACCGGCATTATTGAAGCCACGGTAGATGAGCTACATCAAATCAATAGGGAAGTTGCAGCGTTTTTACAGGATGGCCAATTGGAACTCGAAAAATGTCATTCAAGTCACTGCAAGTTTGTCGATGATGCTACAATCAAACAGCTGGATTACGATATGCTGACTATCACGCTTGGGGTAAAATGGGACCGAGTACGGAACGCATGCTATTGTCTCCAACCAGCGATACAGACTCTTCAGATACACGGTTTCTATGACATCTCCATCAGAGCGTATAGATGCTGCATCCATGGATCATGGGGACATGTTCCCACCCACCCGGCTGATATTGGAACAATCGATATGGTTCAAGCTTTTACGACAAGACAAAAGTCGAGACAATATTGACATTGACATGGAAACTGTGCAACTGGACAAAAGGAAATCAGTCTTTGCCGTAAAAACTACTGGTGATCAACTATTTGAAGGAATCTACAAAATCTGTTCGTATCATCTTTGCCTACTGGTCATCGCCTGTATGTACAGATTTATTTAACGCTGCCGTAAACTCACGCCATTCCAATCGATATTACCACCCGATTCGCACTAACCTTAAAAATCTTAGACTCTTCCTTCAAGTCACATATGGCTTCTAACTGCCCTCCGACCTCCTGGAGCTACCAGGCTACACAGAAACCCAAAGGCATCCTGTCCTGTTCCCAGCATAGGATCCCTTTGTATCACAGCTCATTCGCGATCTCTATCACGCCGGGCCATGAAAGCTCATCGCCTTAAATCAGGTCAATCATTGTCGTCGCTATCGACCAACTCTCGAAAAACAGTTAATGGAGCAACTGCCCAAGGGTACAAATTTTGCAGGAGCTAGGAACCAGCTAGAATCATTGAAGCAGTTTTTTTAAAGAAAGAAACTACTGAATCAACTTCTACTTTAATCCGCCCAGGGCTGCACACAAAAGTGTCTCAATCGCGCTCTTCGAGACACCAGATTTACTGTTGGAAAACTTGCCACAGCAACTGATGACATCGAGGCGATCCTCAACTCTAGGCAGTTAACGTCGCTATCACCAGATCCAAACGACCTTGTCGCTCTCACGCCAGGGCACATTCACAGTACTACCAGAACGACAATCCGGACAAGTTGGATTGATGGAAAAAGGCCACAGGGCCACAAAGCATCCTATCTGGAGTAGCTGGAGCTACGAGTATATAAACGAGCTCCAAGTTCGCACAACCTGGAGGAAGACTGCACCAAATCCATCTGCCAAATATATTACATGGTCATCGTTCGGATAATGACCCTCCACAACGCTGCCTTCTTGGTCGAATATCAGCACCATCGCTGGATCGGACAATATCGTGCGTGTAGCAAACGTATGCAATTACGGAAATATACGCAGCCCTACGCATTTTTTCTAATTCCGCGCCTTTTAAATGTTACTTAACATAACACGAACAAATAAGTGGCAAGTAGAAAAGAAGATAGGATAAGAAGATAGAAAGCTTGAAATTAAAGTTTGCAACGTCATTAGAAGTTTGAAGCGAGAATAAACAAGAGAAAACGTTATAGTCTAGTTCCCCGACTACCAGATACCAGTTACTTAGCTAGTAAAGTGCAAACAAGAAATTTTCACGTTTTTCTGGAATATTGATAAAAATAGGGAACAAAAATAAGAATTAATGAAAAAAATTTGGAAACGTTTTAAAAGTGTGGGCGTGACAGTTTTGGGTAGCTAAATCTGTTCCTCTTTTGGAGTGGCCTGCAACGTTGGTCGAAAAACGTTGGTCGGATATTAAAACGGCATTTGTAGCTTCTAAGCCATTAATAACGAAAACCTTTGGGCTGTAATTAAGGAGTTGTGGAGCGAAATATCCCTAAAACGGTTCTAGGACTTGGTTGACTGCATGCCAAGTATTATACACAACCAAGTATTAAATTAGTGTAGCATTATTTTGTAGTTCTTAATAAAGAAAGTACCTTAATTAAGTTAAGAATTCATAGAACAATTGAAGTCCTTTTTTATTTTCTAAAAATAAAGATAAAGGTATTTCAGCTTCTTTTACACCCTTTTATATTATTCGCAGCTGTACAAATATTCCATATATGTAAATACAGAAAGGGGTAAGGACCATTTTTAACATGCACCGACATTTATTCAAAGTTAATTTCCATTATTGAAACAAAAAACACAGAATGGATTGAAAGTAAAAAAGCTCTTCTGAAATTGTTTAATATTATAATGTTGAGCTAATAAGCTTTTTTATTACCATTTTACGATTGAAAACGCTTTGACTATGAAGGAAATGACTATATTTTAGTCGTTAAGCGCATATATGGGTTTCGAAAGCAAATGAAGTGAGCGCCTTAATTGTTTCGCTATGCGGGTTCATATTTCGCTACGCCAGCTTCGCAACTGAGTGATTTTAGCGCTATCCACATTAACTCTCCCATGGCACACTGATATGAGGTTGGATTTTGAGTAAAATCCCGCATCTAAAGGTGTCGCTGTTGGCCTGCACTGCTTCAAGCCGTGTCTGGTTCATCGTTATACGGCCCAACTCGGCTTCACGTTCTATCTGAATACCCAAAAAAGCGCTCAACTGCCCACGCATTCAAATCTCGAAGCTATCTTAGAATTGACCTGCATATCGTTCAAATGACTATTGAGATAGGTTGTACACACATCCATCTTTAGTTCAACTGACATAGCCAACACTAGGCGTATGGTTCATATCGGCATATGGTTCATATCGGCATATAGTTAACACCGAATTTCCGCCAGAAACCCTTCTGTACCAAGCGAACTTTATACCGCTCGGGGTTGCCTTCACCGTCCCTTTTAATGGAAAAAACCTATCGGAACCCTATGGCCTTTTCTCCTTTTGCCAAATCCCAAATCATCCATGTATTATTTGCCACGAGCGCGTCATATAGTGCTTTTTCACAGCTTTGAGGGAGTGGAATTTCAGATTTGACCATGGCATTAATAACGTTGAATTCCTTCCTTGAACTTGCTGTATTTGTATTATTTTTTGACTGCTCATCTTTCTCACTCTGTGATTCCTCCTTGAGTACTTTTTCAGCTTTCTTCGGCGTTGCTTCTGCTGCTGGAAATTCAAAGATCAAAGATTGTCTTCTTAAATTTCATTGAATATTACGTTGCATTTAAGAACAACCTGCTGCGTCTCCTGATCGTACATACTGTAGCCTTTTGATTCCAGGGAATATCCAAAGAATATATATTCGTTACC